TTATGGTAAAGTGATTTGTATAACCTTTATTCAATAACGTATATTTTCCTCCATTTGTGATTTTTTAATTTTAAGCGAAAATTAACTATAACATTTAGGAAAAAGAAACACTGTAATATTTAAAAGAATAAGAAGAAATTAGTCTTATTTTGAAGGAAAAATATAGAAAAAACTCTTTCTATAGAAAAAGTCTTTATACTAACCAGAATCCGGTGACATATACGCGGTCTCACCGGAAACATTACTTATTACTTCACATAACTTGAAGAATATCTACTTTTAATAATGAACACTTCAGAAATACACCAGTAAAAACATTTATTATTTGAGACTAAAACTCGAATGAAATTATAAATATTAGTTACCTATGTTGTTATAGCTTTTATAGGCCTGTTTAACGACTTAATAAGTTACCTAGCGAAAAAATCTGTGCGCGTACCTACCACTATTGTTACAGGTTAATTTTTTAAAGAAATAGTTACACAAATTAAAAACGCTAAAATTTTAATGGTATTACTTGTGCATTATTGGCCTTATAATGCAATTAGTTGGAATTATATCTTCTTTAAATATAATTAGACTTTTTAACGACTTTTAAGTTACCTAGGAAAAAATCTGTGCACGTACCTACCACTATTGTTACAGGTTAATTCGTTAAACAAATGTGTTACATATTATTCGTGGTATTAGTGGTATTATATTGGAATCAGCTTGGCATTAGTGGGGCATTATATGAGAAATTTTGGTATTTAATTTGTATTTTTGGCATTACTTTGGCATTAGTAGATATACAGACATTTGTCAGCGGTTTACTCCTTGTAGATAATCAAAAAGTTTTTAGATAAAATTTGCTTTTTATGTCAGATCATTTCTATGAAAAATTACATTAGATTTTTATTAAAGACGCTGGGTAATTAAAACATTGACTAATAAAGCTTGTCCACTTTAAATAAGGGGTCACGAAATATCCTCCTTGGAGTGTTTGGGTTAAGGGGTGTATAATAAATTAATCCTTGTTTTATAATAAAAACCATAAAACATTTATTTGTGAGTAAAATAATGCAATGGTTGGATATCTTTTCTTTATAATTAGGCGACTAAAAATACACTAAAATAATTAGAAAAAAAATCTTGTAATTATTTAGTAATTACGTCAATATTAATTAATTGACTTTCTAGTCTATTTTATTTTATGTACAAATATATTATTAAATTTTAATCTAAGCATTAAGTAATAAAACACTTTGTGCCCTCTTATATCGTAAGAGGTTACGAAATATACTCCTGGTTACACCCCTTACAGAAAACAGTGACTGGGATGCAAATAAATTGTATAATCACTGTTTTTTATAATAAAAACTATAAAACATTTCTTATTTGTGAGATTAAAAAAACAAAACAATGCATTGGTTAAAATAAGTACATTCAATACATGTATTGTGTTAGACATTTATATGCCCAGTATATTTTTGTTTAACAAACCAATCAGGAAAAAATCCAAAACCTACCGTTATAGGAGGTATACGATGATTAAACTTATATAATGACAACTACTTATCGGATAACAAATTAATTACTACTGTCTAGGTAGAATATACCTAGAGTACCTACACCTACCTATGATGTAGGTAGATTAAAGCTTATTTTGACTTTACGTCTCACTTCGGTGTCACAAGCTGAATTTTTCAGGGATGGAAGTACAGTACATGATATGGGGACCCTTATTCCGAAAGTAGTACAAAATTAGACCGGGTAAAAGGGCACTATCATCAAAAATCGATATATTAATAGCACCGCATAGAGAAAACAAATACTTATTTTTTGATCCAGTACACAATAAAGTCTTCGTAGGGAGTAATTTTTTATAATTATTTACAAAAAAACATTTCCATTAGCGCTTATGACCAAAAAAAACTTTAAACATGAATAACTCATTTCAATCCTGCGAAATTTGGTTTAAAAATAGACTTTTTTTTAATATAACTTTCATTTAACGAAAAACGAAGGCCTAAATGAAAAAAAGAAACAATTTAAAAGTTTCGCTTATGTCTTGACAAGGTATCAAAGCAAACCCCATATTTTTTGCTTTTAAACTAATAAAGATATATTAATAAACAATTAGCGATGTAATGGTTTTTGCGCGCGCTGGCCCACTGCCGCCGGCGCCGCTGCGCCGAGATTTCCTATACCCTTGTATATATGACGTCATGGTGTGGCAAATGTAGCATTTTAATTCGATTTGGGCTCCCTTATATAGGATAACAGAAACATTTTGAATGTTAAAAACTGTATAAAACTGATAAAATGTTATCAAGTTATTTTATTTAAAAAAAAACGGTACATATGTGTTAATACAAAACAAACAAGAACAAAACACCACATACCAAAAAAATATAAAAAAGAACTATTTCTTACTTTCAAGCTTCAAGAAACTTCTCGCATTTATTATTATATTTATCAATATAATTTATGTACAGGGTGTCCCATTTTGGTTGAAATCATAGGGTATCTCCGTTATTAGTGAAGATAGAAGGGTGCGGTTTGCACAAACCTGTCTCACTTTTTTGTCAAACGGAAGATGCCGTAAACAAAATTTCCATAACCCTCTTCGTTTCCGAGCTACAGGGTCTTTTTGAAAGTTTTGCAATTTGGGACACCCCCTGTATCTCTGTTATTGTTAAAGCTATCGAGAAGGTAAAAACTGATTCTTGTAGAACTGTTTACGTAGAATACAGTGGCGTAGTCTGGTTTTCTACCAAAAAACTATTTTTGAAAATATGAACTAAAGTTATGTTTTTTTAAATGGAACACCCTGTATATTTATAAATCATATGATCTCTCTTGCCATAAGCTTCTCAAAAATATATATCACTCTATATTTATTTTTACTATTTACTGCAATATTTAAAAGTTTTTATTAAGAGATCATATTTATTAGTAGGTCATGATTGATAATAAAAGAAACTAAAGAATTATTAAAAGTATACTGCTATCTGTCTCTTGTTTTATTTTGGAAGCCGCTAATAAATTCTTTATATATTAGGGAAACTTACCTCCCTACCGCTATTTGTAAATCTTGGAATACGTTGTATACGTACGAATAATCTATCGTATCGGAAATTTTAGATATTCCTTTAGCTAATTTACGTGAAATATACTTTCAGCAAGATGGGGAACATTCCCCCTCATAACTATGAAAATATTAGAATACCGTTAAATTATTATTTTTCAAATCAATGAATTGGAACCAATGAACACATATTGATAGCCTCCTCGATTACCGGATTTCGCCGTTCTCGATTTCTGATTTTGTGGATTTTTGAAATACGAAATATATCGTGGGCACTACAACCTACAACAATGTCGAACGCCTGAAAAATGCTTTAATAATTCAAGCTTTTAGATATTTGCAAACCCATTCCGTTATAAAAAAAAGAAAAATATATTCACAGTTTCAGTGGTAACAGTTATTTCAAAAGTAAAATATATCAATCCCAAATTAATTTTAATATGTGTATAACTATTTTAGTAAATACCATTTTGATTTTTTGTTATTTATCACGGCCTACTAATAAGAAAATGATATATTTTAAATATTGCAGTAAATAGTAAAAATAAATATAGAGTGATATATATATATATATATATATATATATATATATATATATATATATATATATATATATATATATTTGAGAAGCTCATAGCAAGACAGATCATATGATTTATAAATATACAGGGTGTTCCATTTGAAAAAACATAACTTTAGTTCATATTTTCAAAAATATTTTTTTGGTAGAAAAACAGACTACGCCACTGTATTCCACGTAAAAAGTTCTATAATAAGCAGTTTTCGCCTTCTCGATACCTTTAACAATAACAGAGATACAGGGGGTGTCCCAAATTGCAAAATTTTCGAAAAGATCCTGTAGCTCAGAAACTAAGAGGGCTATGAAAATTTTGTTTGCAGCATCATCCGTTTGACGAAAAAGTGGGACAGGTTTGTGCAAACCGCACCCTTCTATCTTCACTAATAACGGAGATACCCTATGATTTCAACCAAAATGGGACACACTGTACAAATACAAATTTGTAATATTCCACGGGAATAAATAAAACAACATAAATAAAAAACTATTTTATAAATAATATCACTTACCAAATTTTATACCTTAAAGGTTGATTAATTAACCTTAATCTTAAGTTTTTTAAACCAGTACCTTTTGACATTATTTTTCTGCGGTACTAAAATCCATTATTTACATATCGTGTGATGTCGTTATTTTACAGCTACTCGAGTTTTTAGTATATGTTTAGTACGATTCTTGTACCATATATAAGATGCACTTATCTATGACGAGATGGTATACAAGCTTTATTGAATTGGTGTATAAGACTTTCTGCCTGGGCACCGACTATTAACTGTAAACTGTGCTCTGGGTCTACAGTTAATTTTCCCTGGATTTTTCCTCCACTTGACTTCAAAAAACACAAAATACACGTAATAACACGAATCAAAATGCATCATCTTCCAAAATGCAGGGTATTTGACATAAGTTGACACAAAATTACAAGCTATAATTTGCCAAGACTTTGACAAGCCTCAAAAATCTAAAGGCGAGTTCATACGCATCGACGTCCGTTTGTCGTTCATCGTTCCGTCAAACCAATATATTTGAAATATGATCTGTCATTTTTAAAATAAACCAATTAAACTGGTTAAAAACAACAAGAGACGACGCATGACGGATTTATATTTAAACCCATCCATAGTTAACTTAAAAAATATTAGAAACTTTTTTTAGTAAAATAAATAGATTGGTATGGGATGTCATCTGCTTTTCTTCTGTCGTTGTCTGTCGAAATCTTACCTGAGAAAAAAAAACAGAGTACCTATCGGCTAAAATAATAATATAACAATTTCGTAATGAAACCGTTTTTTGCACTATGCTTCTTTCTTAAGGCTTTTGTTAAATTATTTTTTTTTGTGTTTTGAATAGGGCTTTGGAGATGTCAGATAACGTGGACATGTCTCCCCAGGGGTCGCAGTGTTCGTCGCATCCGATGACGCAACGACCGTCAACGCCGGACCGCACTAGCGTCTATGATATGAACTACGAGATTTCGGTATAGGGCTGGCACGGGCACTCTTGTCGCAGGTAAGTAGTTTTACTTGTAGGAAGTTTATTTGGTCAAATTTCTTACAAAAATGTTATAATACGCGTATATTTCTATTCTAAATCATATCTCTTGAAAAGAAATCTAAAATACACTGTTCAAGTAATATTTTTAGACACAAAATCGAAACAAAATCTCTGCTGAGAAACATTGCGAAACAGTTTTGTCACATTTTTTATATATATGTTTCATAGCATAAATTGCTTTTTGTTTCGAAACATTTTACTAAAATATGGTTTCGCTACATAAGCTATAACAATAAAGATCTTAATGTCACAAATTTTTCGAAATTTTAAGAAACTGATGTGGCTTACATTTACAAAGATTTGGTATCCGTTTTGTCCCTGAAAAGTTTTCATAATTTATTTGATATTATGTCAAATATGAGAACATAACCTGACTTTATGGTTTGGTTTTTGTTCTGCAGTTTTGCATTTAAGCTTTCTTCAAGTTTTTATAGCGTTATAATTAAAAAAGTTGGAATCCATGTTTTTTAGTTTTAATTGTGTTATAATAAATAAATAAAAATTTTTAAATATTTTGACCAGAAGTTTTGATTGGCGTTGTTGGCAGGTGACTAGTTCGAAATTTCTACACAAATAGCGCTAAATCGAAACATTTTGGAAACAAGGTTTCCATTTATTGTCGATTTATTTTCGATTCTCTCTTTTAAGACACAAATATGATATAATGTAGATGATTTGTGTTCAACTCCATGTTAATTTTATAAAATAATTAATTAAAATTCCGGCATGTTTTTATCGGCTCTTGAGCTTTTAAACTTATAGAACGCGTACTACTTACGTTAATTTATATTGTTACGGATTCCGTGGGTCCACTAATTTAAACTCACGATAAAATACGAATTTATTTTCTCTCACTCTGTACACATAATTTATACTAATTTACAACACAATTTATGCAACTACTATTACTCTAACGGTACTGGCACCTTCGCCAATTAATGCACAATTTAAAACGCGGTATTATCAAACTTCAGACTTTAACTGCCAAGCGCAGGCCTTTATATACCCTCTGGCGAGTGTTTCTGGAACGTTCTATAGAATTCTGTAATTTTCTTTTACTTTCTGGCGAATTCGCCAGGTTCCTCAATGCACGTTGCGGTTATGTAGCAGTAATGCAGTTCTGCAACCAGTAATACAGTTTAGCGCTATATACACCTTGATATTGCCCCCTTCTCAAATTTGATCGTCCCGATCAAGGTTTCCTGTCCGGTATCTTCAATTGATCCAGATGTACTACTTTCATCTTACTTCTAGGGCTGCGTTGAATCCGGTACGCACTTTCGACCATCCCATCAGATTGCGGATGTAAAGCCGTTGTCCTAGTCTTGTGAATACCAAGCAGATCACACATCTTCTGAAACAGTCTTGACTCGAAGTTCCTTCCTTGATCAGTGCGAAGCTCTAATGGAATTCCAAATCTATTGAAGACTGCTAAGACATTATTGACTAATACTTCAGCTACAGTCGATGCTTCTTGGTTTGGAATGGCAAAAATCCATCGCCACTAAAACGTACTTGTTGCCCTTGTGCGTTTCAGGGAATGGGCCTGCAATGTCAACAGCAATTCTTCCGAATGGCAGTCCAACATTATATTTCATTTTTCCCCTAGATCGAGTGCTTGGTCCTTGGCTGGCTGCACAAATTTTATATTGTCGACACCATTTCTTGACGTCTTCGCAATAATCCACCCAGTAAAAGCGATCTCTCAGCTTGCTCAAGGTCTTGTTTATTCCAAGATGGGCTCCAGTTTTACCACCGTGAATTTCTTCCAATACCTGGGTAACTTTCTTCCTTTGTACCAGTAACTGATTTGTTACTGTTCGGCCATCCGCACTTTCCCACGTGCGCTGTAACAATCCATTCTCAATCACCAGTGAATTCCACTGAGCCCAGAGAGCTTTGAAAATCAGCCCTCTGTCCGCAATTTCCTGCCACGATGGTCTCTCGCCGTTACCCTCCTTGAGCCGTAGTATTGCTCCGATGTCTGGATCTTCCATTTGAGAGGCTGATAGCAAAAGTGGGTTAAAATTTTACTCTCGGCAAAAACGGTTTGCGTTTTTCAGAGGGCAAAAGCGGTTTAAGTAGCAATGAGAGCAAAAATGAGAGAAAGAAACTTTACCGTAAAAATGGGTTATAATTATATGCCACTTTTACTCTAAGATTAAAAATATTCCTTTTTTGTCCGAAGCATCTTCCCAGCACGATGTTGGATGGTAAAGTGATACTGCTGGAGCTTCTCGAGCCATCGTGCTATTTGACCTTCAGGTTGTTTTATCTCCATAAGCCACTTGAGAGCCGCATGATCTATCCGAATTAAAAATTCTTGGCCATACAGATATTTATGAAAATTATCAACTGCCTTCACAATTGCTAGCAGCTCCTTCCGGGTAACACAGTAATTCCTTTCTGGTTTGGATAGAACTCGACTGTAATATTCTATCACTCGCTCTTCGCCATCTTGCACTTGTGATAGCACTGCACCGATGCCGATGTTGCTGGCGTCGGTATCCAGGATATACCTCCCTTGTTGTTGCGGGTAGGCTAAAATAGGACTTGAACATAAAGCCGCTTTAAGTCTTTCAAAGGCTACATCACAATCGGTGTTCCATTCGTAGCCGACTTCATCACCTGTAAGTTTATGTAAAGGTGCAGCTATGTTGGCAAATCCCTTGACAAATCTTCTGTAATATGTGCATAAACCCAGAAAACTTCTAAGTTCATGTTTGTCGCGAGGTTTAGGCCAATCCTTGATTGCAGCGATTTTCTTCTGGTCGGTGTAAATTCCGTCTGCTGAGACTACATGACCCAAGAATTCCACTTGTCGCTGGAATAAACTACACTTCTTCGGGTTCAAGTACAGGTGAGCATTCCGTATGCGGCCGAAGACATCTTCTAAATTTCGCAAATGCTCCTCAAAAGTTCTTCCCATAACCAATACATCGTCGAGGTAAACCAAGCACGTTTTCCAAGTTAATCCTCTTAACACCACCTCCATGAGACGTTCGAAAGTGGCTGGAGCATTGCATAATCCAAACGGCATGACCTTGAATTTGTATAGTCCGTTTCCTGTAGAAAAAGCCGTCTTTCTTTGTCTTCCTCGTCCAGACCAACTTGCCAGTATCCACTCTTTAAGTCGAGAGTGGAGAATCAGCACGAACCTGCCAGTGTGGTTAACGTGTCGTCTATACGTGGCAGTGGGTAGCTATCCTTCTTAGTGACGTCATTGAACTTCCTGTAGTCCACGCAGAATCGTGTACTACCATCTTTCTTCGTCACCAAAACAACAGAAGATGACCATGGACTTGATGATTCTTCGATTACTCCATCTTCTAACATCTTATCTACCATTGTCTCCATTTCTTGTTGTTTGGAAAGGGGTACCCTTCTAGGACGTTGTCGAATCGGCTGGGCATGACCAGTATTAATCCGATGCTTCACAAAATCCGTTCTTCCACTGTTATTATCAAACTTCAGACTCTAATTGCCAAGCGCAGGCCTTTATATACCCTCTGGCGAGTGTTTCTGGAACGTTCTAAAGAATTCTGTAATTTTCTTTTACTTTCTGGCGAATTCGCCAGGTTCCTCAATGCACGTTGCGGTTATGTAGCAGTAATGCAGTTATGCAACCAGTAATACAGTTTAGCGCTATATAAACCTTGACAATATATTTTTATTTCCAGAACTATGATATAGAAATAAAAATGTATTATTAATATATATAAATATATAATAGTACAGTATATAATATATATAAAGATAAAAAAATATAATAGAATAGATAAAATAATAAATAGATAAAAATCTATTATTTGAAACAAACATATTTTGTAGCTACATATAATGATATATAAAAGGGGCATTAACAATATGAAAGTACATTATTAAATTACACGATGAATTTTCTTTTGCCAGACATTTTTTGTGCCAGAAAATCTAAAAACAAAGATCTTAAGACAAAAAAAATATGGCAGAGGTCAACATTGTTGATGGTTATTTTCATTTTGAAATCCACACACAGACATAGACTATTTTAGTTTGGTATTTTGTTTCTTTACATTTAGAAACAGTGGCTGCTGAAAACGGAAACATCTTGAACACAAATTGCAGAAAATGTTTCGAAACATTTCTTCTAAAAGTTTTGATTCCGCATCGAAATATTTTAGGAAACGGCTAGTGCCACCACATTGGAAGCACATGTAATAAAGCCATATAACATATAGGTTTCGAAAACGTTTTCTATTTGTGGCATACCGTTTCCATTTTGTGTAAAGGAACATACACGATTATTAGAAACATTACCTAAAATGTGTCCAAAAATGCTACTTGGGTGGTTTACACCAATTTTACTATTGAATAAACAGACGAAGAAGAGAGTTTCTCTAATTGAATCCGTTTATTTTATGTTATTTGAATTATGAATATTCTAGAAAGTTATTGAATGTTATTGCACAAGAGTTATTGAATATTATTGCACACAGGAATGCCCTAATTACGCGTTAACATTTTTTCGGCAATTTTATTAACATTTGAAATTGTCACAACACAAAGACGCTCAGTTCGGGTTCTTTTTCACTTAATATTTACTACCTGAAACAGCGTTACATCACACAAACCTCGTACCTGAGTGTTATATAGTTTCAATAACTGCACTAGTAAAAACAGAAATACTTAAATATTATAACACATAAACGTATCGAGCGCTGCAGTCGGAATTTTTAAAATCAAGTGAAATGCACCAAGCCTCTATACGTTCAAATTTCGTATTGATTTTTATGTGCTTAAATATTTAATGGTGCCCGGTGGCGTAGAGGTACAGGCTCTCGTCTACCAATCTCAAGGTAGTGGGTTCGAATCCTACACCTGGCATTTCATCAGCCGACTATTTTTATTAAAATAAAAATAGTTTGAGTACCTAGGTCGACTCAGCCTTAAATGAGTACTTGGGATTCACAATCCCTGAGGTAATAATAGGCGGTTGAAGCGTAGTGCTAGCCACATTACCTTCCTTGTATACCGAACGGCTCTAGCATGGCAAGCTGTACCTTACTACTCCCAAGGCGTTAAACGCTATATACGAGAGCTATTATTATTATTATTTTTATGTGCTTCCAAAGATTATTTCTTTAATGGATTGCGATTTTTTTTCCAGGGACGATTGAGTGCCTGATTGCGAAGTTTCTCTGTATCAGAGACACGACACCCTAGCGATTTAGGACTAGGTTTTGTATTCGTTCATTGTTTTCTACTAACGAAGGTGAAAAGAGACCAGAAAAATGTGAGAGACAGAGACGATCTGTATTCCACCGATCACGTGGACAACCCGACTGTTAATCTTAAGGAGGCAAAAATACGAGCGCTCAACTAAGGTAGACAATAGGATTAAGGAAAAACACGATTTGTTGGAAGGCAGATCTAGAGATGTATCATAAGATGAAAAGTAGGAAGAAATATTATAGTGGAGTAAAAAATGACAAATGGGAAAAATATTAATATTACGAAAGTCATTTTGGAAAACTCTTTCTGTCTACTTTTTCTTCGGTATGGTTTTTGGACGTGACTATAGAAGTGTTGTGAACTGCTCCGAGTAGTTCAATTGTCTCGACGAGTACTAAAATTGCAGGGTAAATGTAGTAAACATTCCGTTTACTTAGTTTTAACCACAGACATTAAAAAATATATGTAGATCATAGATAAAGGAAACAAGTTTAGATTGGAATGGCCGCCAAAACTTATAATTATTGTTTTGGAGCGCATACGTTGTAGGGCGCTGTTATAGCGGTTGCTAAGAACAACCGCAAACAAGAACAGAAATAATTTTCTTTTGTCAAAGTCTGGTCAAAGTCAGAATCTTCAAAAATTATAAAACCTTTCAAAATTTAAACCGTCCTCATTGAAAAAATACCGTCGATTTTCAAAGTAATTATTGCTATCTTGTGAGTTTAATTTAAATTTTGTTTACTCAAACCCGTGATAATTGTGAAAAAGTGGCATTAGAAACTTAAAAAGCTGTGTGAACTGTGAACTGCAAAAACCATCGTGGATCGTGGCATAACTTCGGTTTCCAATGTTTCATAGGTATTTCATACATGTCCTGATATATAATAAAGTTTCTTATATGCAACACACTGTATTTTATTTAAAAATTTAAAAAAAATAACAAATTTGAATAAACAATATTTGGCGACATAATTCCGGAAAAAGCTGAACCGCTCCGAAATTATCAAAAGCTTTGGAGAGCGACCGTTGTAAGAATAGTGCCAAATAGTATTTACATTGTCCTTATGGGCACTTTCCAATCTAAGCCTGTTTCTTTTATCTATGATGGTAGATTAAACTGTGATCTATAGAATTTAGATACAAAATTCGTACAGAATTTTAAAAAAAATAATAACAGACATCAGTGTTTTAACAAAATGTCAAAATTTATCAAGGCTGAAAAACAGATAGGTATAGAATATTATCACAAAATTACCTAGTTATACAGAAGCAACACTTGCAATTTTTTCGCCAAATTTTTAAATGAATTTGTCGTCTTTTTAGGCTGTAAATAGTGGGACTGTATAATGCGTTATAACTCGTTATGACTCAAGAAAGGGAGAGATACAACAGATCTGTAAGGTCGCGGTGATTAACCCCCTTCCCAAGTATTCTACATTCTAGGCTGTAATTTTACACTGGTTGGTTGTCAAATTTTAATTTTTCTGATATCAGGGATGATATACCGGGTGCGTCTCAAAAGTGGCTCACCACTATAACTCTTTTATTTTTTTAGATAAAAAAACGAGATTTGGTGTGTTAGTATATGACATAAATTAGGATTGATTGACGTATTTAATTGTTTTCGGTCACTTCCTGTTTTACCCGAAATGACTACAACTTTTGATTTTTAAATGGCACCCTCGGTATTTTTTTACTTTATTCGATAGAAAATGACATTCTGAATCGAATGACATATCATATGTCAGCTTTTGACATATTCGCTCAAAAACAAATTCCATTTTAAATTTCAATCTTGAGAGCCATGGCTGTGTTAAAAACACTAATTTTAAATCAAGGAGCCTTGGAAAAATAGATTTGATCGCCTAATGTTTTTAGTGTCTTGTCCTGGTCGGTTCAAAGATTCCCAAATCGTATTTTTATGGACATTAGATGCCCATCCCTCATTAATATTTCCACTTTTATCCCTTGTAATCACTGTATAATTTTATGTTAAATTGTATTTTTTAACTGTTTTAACTGTTAAATGTTCTTTTAATAATAGTATATTGTTTTATTAGGAGTAAAAATGACACTTTTTGTGGCGAGGTTGTACATTTGGCATACAGGCGAGCCACAAAAAGTCATTTTTCCTCCAAATAGAACTGCACTTTTTTTGCTGTTTTTTTTTCAAACGCCACAAACAATTTTTTAAACAATTTCAAACGTTCCAAATCATATAAAAAGATTTAAAAGAATATTTATATTATTTTCAGAATTATTCATATAAAAAACTTTGTAGAATATGTAATTATATATCGAGAACCTGTGGTTACGCTCATAATATATTTTCGTATTTTTGTAAAAAGTAAAGGCGTAAAAGTGCTTTACTTTTATGCTTAGGCGTTAAAATTACTTTTTTTGTCAATCATGTCGCCAAAATTAATATTTTTGTGACGTTTGAAAAAAAAATATTTTTTTTGAAAAATTTCTGCACTCTTCCAGTATACAAGTGAGTTTAATTCTCAAAATATTCGCGCTCAAGGTCTAAAAATTTAGCTTCTGTATAATTAAGCTTTTCTGTGATATTTATACATAATATTTTTTCTGTATTCTACCTATACCTTTTAATATCTGTGGTTCTATCATATCCCTTTTGACATCACCCTTCTCGATTGTATGTAGGGACTAAGTCCCCCTCAACTTCCTTTAGTAAATATCGATTTATCCCTCCCTCCTTCTTGCAAGCTTTCTCACAAATATATTTTTTTTTCGTCATAAACACTACATAACCTAATAAAAGTGACGTGAATTTATGTTCGTTTATTAAGCATTTTTGGTTGTGTCATATGTATTGAGTATATTTTGTACAGTAACAATCGGGTGTAGAGTATGAAAAGCGCGTGAATTCAGAGATTTTTTTATTCTTTTTAGGTAATAAATGGGGTATCTGCAGTGATTTTATTTTGATTGTGAACATAGATATACCAAACAATATTGTTTTGCTTGAATTTTTAGTTGCAAAAGTATTTTGTGCAAGACAAAAAGCTATTTTAAGCCTGTGATAATATATTAAAAAAACATTAATAATAAATATAATAGCTCAAGGTTAAACTTAAATATTACTTCGATATTTTTGATCATATATCACTCAACCATATTTCAATGCATTGAGTGTTCCAGTTTAAAACATATGAAAACGTATTTATTTCATATGTTCACCGAACATATATGATTTTTTTTCAGTGTTATAAATCATATTTTGCAGAATATATGAAAAATATCAATGTAGTGTAAATCATAATATTCACAGAAGTTATGAAAACATAGTTTTATTTATGATGTGCTTGCTGAGCACATGAAATATATGAGAGTGTCAAAAATTGTATAATCACGCTATTCAAGAACATATGAAAAGTGGCAGTGTTACAAATGATACGTCCACAGAACATATGAAAAATAAAGTAAATTATATCATTTCCAATTGATATAATTGATATGTTCACTGAACATATGAAATATATCAAATTTATGTGTTTTAGAAGATATGAAAAATAGCATTTGTGGTATAAATCATTCAGAACCTATAAAAACATTAATATGTGATATGTTCACACAGAACATATGAAATATATCAGTATTTCCCAATTATACGTTCATGGAACATATGAAAAATAACCTAAATTATTTCGTCTTTTCACGTTTAAAGTAAAATCACTGTCTATATATTTCATCGTTGTTTTGAAAGGTGCTATTTAATTTTCTCGTTCCTATATTACAATCACAGTTTTATTTTTATTATTTTTTATACAGTGTGCCACATAACTTTTTCTTTTAGTGAATTATTCGAAAAAAAAAACCTGTTTACTTTTTAAAAATATGTTTATTTATGTGTTATTAATCTTTCTTGTTGTGTATAACATCGTTAAGTTCATTAGTTTTTCTGATATTAATAAAGCGAAAAAAAAAACGCAAAAACTTAACAAAGGTGTGAGATAAGAATAAAGAAACAAGTCATTTATTAATGCTAGTGGAAATTTTTTATTGTAAATAACTAGGAAAAAAAGAAGCAAAAAAACAATGTGAATGGATTATATTTAGCTAGGTAAAAACTGGGTGTACATTTTTTCTATATCGCAAAGAGTAACTAAATAAAAGTATCTGTGTAGTCCGTCTCTGGTTAGTTAGGTTTGTATGGAAATTATTTTCGAAACAGGGCCGTATTGAAGTTTTTTTCTATTGAGTAAAATATTCCATTGAATCGGTTTTGTGATGGGATGGATTTACTAAAAATGGGTTTGTATGAAGATATGTTTATTATAATTTGAATAAGACTGATATATTCTAATTATAAAAAATATGGGAAAATTTTTCTTAGATAAAGAGTCGTAATTTTTTTTTGAGGTGATTTTTGGTGGTCAGTTAATAAGCCACCCTGTATATTTTGTAGTAAACAGTCATGTTGTTAATCAATATCACTTACGTAATTTTTGACACAGTCTGTACATTATTTTTTTAGACGATATGGACATTTCTTCGCTACACACCCATAGTTAGTTAGGTTAGCACACACTTATAGTTAGTTACAGGGTCGCTTTTATGTATGGAAACTGTCGATTATTAGGTAAAATATAGGAGGTACCACAAAAAGTTAAATACAAAAGTTATAGGATTTTTAAATATCTATTAGCGAGTAATAAATTTAAATATACAGGGTTGTTCATAAAGTCGTGGCACATCAAAGTTTCATTTTTTTAAGTAGGGCCCTCTGTATATTATTACATATTTCAATAATTCCTTTAATTCTAAGCAAAAATCGAAATACACAGAATGTACCTCAAAGTAACCGTTTCCGAGTTATTGACTTTTGAATATATCACTTAAACAATTCTATTTAATTAATTTCGATGTGTGTGGTTTGATTTAATGATGCCATTCTGCCGAAACTGTGATACTGTTGTAATGGGTTTTTAAATTCCTATTAGTTACTAGTAAATTTAAGTATACGGGGTCGGTCATAAATAATAAAGTTGTGTCACATCAAATTTTTTTTTTTTAAATGAACCCGCCTGTATATTATTGCATATTTCAACTCTTCCTTCAATTTTAAACAATAATCGTAATACATAATGTACATAAATTGAAGAATTGAAATGTTAAACGAAAATTTTGTAATTTCCAGACTTGATATACTCTCATTTTATACATCTATAAATGCTAACTTGAGGACTAACGTCAAATATTATTAAGTATCACAGTTTCGGCAAAATGGCATCGTTAAATGAAACTGAACATATCGAAATTAATTAAATGAAACTGTTTAAGTGATATTTTCAAAAGTCAATAACTCGGAAGCTGTTGGTATGAGGTACATTGTGTGTATTTCGATTTTTGCTTAGAATTGAACGAATAATTGAAATATTTAATAATGTACAGGGGGTTCTATTTAAAAAAAAATGAAACTTTGATGTGCCACGACTTTATGAACAACCCTGTATACTTAAATTTATTACCCTCTAATAGATATTTAAAAATCCTATAACTATATTTTTATATTTAACTTTTTGCGGTACCTCCTATATTTTACCTAATAATCGATCGTTTCCATACATATAAGTGACCCTGTATATCTGTTGTAAAGGGCATTCTCTTCCTTAAAACATAAAATAAGTGCCAAATTAAGATTAAATTTAGTACAAAAATCGCGTAAAAATCGGTTAAATTTACCTCGTTACAGCCCTGTTTCAACCATTTTTTTTAATTAGTATAAAAATCTGTATCCCCACTCTTATCCCCTCCATAATAATTAACTAAACAAGATTTTGAAAATTCTATTTTTCGCTCATGTGAGAAATACGTGTATATTATATAAAAATAATGAAAAAATACATAAAAAATGTTTTTTTTTGAGTTGTGTAAATAGATTTTTGTAAAGATAATTTTTCACAGAGCCTAAAACGGAATTTTCTCACAAATCATTGTTGCGACAAAGACTTGAACATATTTTATTACAAGAAATAAAATGAATAGCTTAATAATATGTAGATTTTATTTTATTTGTATCAAAAATACGTATTTGGAGTTATAACAAAAATATATATGCAGTGTCACAGATAAAATTTTAGAAAAATTATTATTTGAGTAATTTTTTGAGCGACACTGTATATATACTGAATATCTGGTGCTTTAAAAAGCCTATACTTGTATAGCCATAATCGAACAAAACGGTACAGAAATCAAATACGTTGTTATATGTTTTTTTTTCTTTTTTTGTGTACTTATAAGTTTATATATAGTTTTTTTTGTTAAAAACCTGATAAAAAATTAAAACCGTGAAAAAATCATCAAAGCATTTTTATTTCTGTTATAAGATTACATTCTTACATAAAATAAATATAAAATAAATAAACTTAATGGTAAATATTTGATTATATACAGGTGGTGAACTATAAATGAGGGTCTAGTTTCTTCTTAACCTTAGGCTGTTTTTATAGCTTCTACATCGTCTGATTAGCTCAAATTTTCTGTATCTCATGCAGTGCCATTGCGGTACTTGATGCATTGCTATCAATGTCTGTAAGAAATGAGAGTTTGAATGATTATTACATCTTTATTCTACAATATGATTGAAAAAACGTTAGCAATGGCTTTGAAATGAAGATCGCTGTTATTTTATACCGATTTGGTCATTTTAGAAGTGTGGTCTAGATTTTAACGTGTAAGACAGTGATCTAGGGAGCTTAATGGAAAATCAAATGTATTAAAAAGAGATAAAAGTTGAGTTGATACATTTCTTCTATGCGGTATTGCCAGTTTTGCATCAAAAGTTGAAACCGCACAAGTAGGCGTTTATGGAAAATGTTGCATCTAGGATTGGAACCTATTAAATATCAATTAGTTACAAATTTTACTACAGATGTAATAGATTATATTTAGCTTAGATATATTATCTTCATTTCAGTAGTATACATGACTTTAAAATAGTTTATTTTTTTCTACACAAATTTTCCTACAAACGTAATAACCGGCAACACTGTATGCTGCTTTTGATTTTGCCTCTCTCTCTCTGTCAACCGGTCTTTTATATTATTCTGTCTCACACGTTAAAATCCAGACCACACTTCTAAAATGACCAAATTCGGTATGTAAAATTATATGGGGAATGTCATCGATCCTCATTTCCAAGCCAACTGGACGCCGGTTTTTTTTTCGATCATACGGTATTTGTTTTTGTACATAAAAATCTCTGAGAAATTGATAAAATCGCTATGAAACATTGATAAAAGGAATATTGTAAAGTAAATAATGATCTTTTCATAGTTTATTTTAGACTTCCTATCAATTTATTCTGAAAAGTATATTTTGCATTCTATCGATATTTTACTTATATCGATAGAATGCATCATCTCAAATTTAATATCTATATCACTGTTGCCAATAGTCGAAAAAAAAACCGTTTGAAACGCAACTTACAAAGAATATTATTATTAATTTTATTGTTTTTAATCATTAATATGCCCATTTTTATTTATCAAATAAGTGCCTCTAATCTAAAATTTTAATAAAATGGAACAAACCATTTTTTAAGCAAGTCAAATCGTTTAAAATTCAAAATGATTTTTTAATTGAATAATTATTGCTGATCAAAATCTCGTGATATTCATCAAATTTTAGAATTAAATTCTATTTAATACAGAATAGTATAGTGTTATGTATTTAATTAATTATATAAGTAATTTGGACTTGTAGGATTTAAATTTCTAAATTCCTGTATATAGCAGAAGGTTTGTAACGAATTTTAAATGTTATTTTTGAAAAACATCCTAAATTCTAGAAATATTTTACTTACTGGGTCTTCTTCTGTTATGGGTACCGCAGATACACCAAAACTAGCTGAAAACAGCGCGAAATACAAATAAAGAAAACAAACTTTGAAGAACTTCATGACTGTGGCGCACTTTTTGAAACAATAATCGCTAAATGATGATCTGAATACGTGATCCAGAGACTAGCTGTCTTTACCGGATAATAACCCACACTTCTAGAACCTGCCGTTTAAATAAGCGCTTCTGGATCAAAACAACGTTTACCGGTAATTGCCAGCTGCACTCAGGATGCAAAAACGACCTACTTTTGAGTCGTTTTTTCGAAATTAACATCCCTTTTAACTTCGCCACACTCAACGAGATTCTTTGTTCGTACTCTTATATGCGTTCTTTTTAATCTTACGGTGCTTTGCCCTATTAGAATCAATTTAAATTTAAACGCGCTCGTAATTGGAGTCGTAAAAAGTTAGTTGTTTTATATTAGTGTGGTGGCACCATTGGCTGCCATCGAACACAAGTGTTTGTTTACATATTTGAATATCATAAAAATTATGGTTACATTTGTTTAAAAATTATGTCAGGGTCTTCTGAAGTCAATTTAAAACAAACTCTGAGGAAAATAGAGTATCCGCTGTGCGCTCAAGAGGCTCTAAAGAAAATAGGCATGTAATTTAAGTGATTTACTTTTATTTGTCTGTTGATAAAATTATTATATTTTTTATAGGCGAATTACTATGTTCGAGAAGCACAAATATAAAAAGTATGGATTTATCTCTGGATCTCATGGCAGAGTTTGTATTTTGGGAATCGGATAGAAGGGGAAATAAAAGGTCTCATGCCCTGAGTCCTTTGGTCGAATTGGAACTTTTGCAGATATTATTTGAGTACTTAAATAGTATTTCAAACGAGGCCACAAGAAATACGTTGTTTCTGAACCTTTTTAGTCCAATAACTGCGAACATTAGACTGGGTATTTTAAGTAAATTAGTCTCTTTGGCTGTAGGAATTCCAAGTGCTAATATTCTTATGTGTGCCAGTACGTGGATGCAGCAGTTAGGTAAATTTATTATGAGATAGGTATGTATAGACTTTTCAATAAAGTTATTAATGGTTCTAGGAAACACATCAGCCTCTAGTTGTAAGCTTGCCGAAGCTCTGGTATTTGATTATATCCATTTATCATCGAATCCAGAAGAAAGATTGAAGGATTTATCTAAAATTGCACCACAATTTGTTGCCAATTTTTTGACCGCCGTTGCTGAGAATTATTTTATATCTAAAAAGGAACCGAAATATCCTCCAGATGCACTCTTGAGGTGCATTACAAACTGGGTAAAGTATTTATTTATATTTATAAAACTATTTGTTCAGACATGCTCTTTTTATTTATAGGTATCGGAAGACTCGAATTTATGTATAGCAGCTCAACAAAGACAGGGTATTTTACCACCAGGTGCAATAGCAATGGAAGCAACAACACCTATTGCAGGGTTACTAAGGTGGTGCGTACTAGCCCCATTAAATCACCAAGATCAAGAAATCTACTCGATGCTCTACTTGGCTCTGTTAAATAGCATATCCGCCATACCCAGATCGAATCCACCGAGAGCCATAAACGTTCAGCACTTATTTGGGATTGTTTCGGCATTGATTATTTACCACAAAGAGATTAGAAGTCGAGATGAGTCTAAAATGAATGTTTTCTTAAACGATCCTGCTATGCAGGTGGCTTTAGATCGATTCTCACAAGCCGTTCAGATAGCTCTAAGTGTAAACGCAATTTACGGCCATATAGACGAACTTTTCAACAGTTTACAGAGTTTACCGTTTAATAAGTTATTAAGTATAGTGTTGAATAAGTACAAGGAGAGCAAAGCTCCTATAATAATCGTGTAAATTTTACAAATAAAATGTTTTTAAAATTTTCATTTTTAATTTATTCCGTTGGTGACACTAGAATCATATTTTTTATATATGATTGGCAGTTTTAGGCCCCATCTAGTTATCATTATAGATATTTTACCCTTTTTGGTAAAGGTGTGGATCCGGTGGCTAACCTTGAAGCACAGAATATCTAGCATGTATCTAGCTACGCAACAGAAAAATACTCGAAATGAAAGACATAGATAAATGAAACAAGTTTAGATTGGAAAGTGTACCCCCATAAGGACAATGTAAACACTATTAGGCGCTATTCTTGCAACGGTCGCGACCCAAAACTTTTGAAAATTTCGGAGCGGTTCGGCTTTTTCCGGAATTATATCGCCAAATATTGTTTATTCAATTATTTCTGTTTTTGTTTGCCGTTGTTCTTAGCGACCGCTATAGCAGCGCCAGATCGCGAATAACGGTCGCGACCCAAAATAATTTCGCGACCCAAAATTTTTACGGGCTTTCCAATCTAAACTTGTTGCATTTATCTATGATGAAAGAGCTAAAATTGCACAAATAGAATACTAGATGGCGCGACAATATCATAATCAGTAAAATAATCAGAAATTAGAAATTTTGAACTTTCGGTTTTGGATCGACGGCTCGTCGACGGCCTTATAGCTCGGCTACATATGCACAGTTGCCAGATTCAAAAAGACTTGAATTGGCATCCCATTCTTTTTATTGTGTATAATTCAGTATGTGTTTCTTTCTATTCTTCTTTTCTTGTCAGATACACTTATATTAATTATTCCTTTGGCTATTAAAATAGTTTTAAGTCTGGTTTTAAGTATATTAGGTCTGTTCGTTTTCCTGTTATTACCGATTCTGAACCGTCCTAGAATTGTGACGTGTATGCGCAGAAGGGAATAGGAAGACATTATTTCATTTGCGCATGCGCTGGAGAGTTCTAGGACGGTTCAGAATCGATAATACCAGGAAAACGAACAGACCTATTATTACAAAACATATACATTTTTAATATACACTATACCTTATAATGTTAACTAAGAAAATACCTTTAATTACCTTTAAAATTAATAATATACAGGGCGATTGATAGTGATATTTATTAATGCTGGAACGTTAGTAATGAAATATAAGTTTAATAATAATGGAAATAATTTATTAAAATGCAGTACAAAAAATGTTAACTGACTAAAAAATACTATAATAACAAATTTCTTCTGTTTGCCACGTTATTTATATAGACCTAGGTAGATTTTAAAAAGTGACACAGGTACAATTAATAATATATTAGTTCGGCATAAAAGTTGCTGTCACGACATCGAACAATAAATTAAAATTCGTAAAATAAATTAAAATTATTAATTAAACAAATCTTTATAAAGAAACGCAAGTATACCAAATTTGGGCCCAATCGAACTCCAGGAAATGATATCATAATAGTGTACTATATTATGGTACCACTCGATATACTTTAAGGTACCATAATATTGCAATGTTACCGAAAATCCGTAGTATACCAAATTTAAGAACAATCGAACGCCATGAAATGGTATCGTAATATAGTACTATATTAAGGTACCACTTTATATACATCATAGTTCAATCATATTACAATGTAACGAAGATACGTAGTATACCAAGTTTGAGCCCAATCGAACGCCAGGAAATGGTATCGTAATATGGTACTATATTAAGGTACCACTTTATATGCATCATAGTACCATCATATTACAATGTCACCGAAAATACGTAGCATCTCAAGTTTAAGCCCAATCGAACGCCATGTACGTAATATAGTACTATATTATGGTACCAGTTGGTATGCTTCATGGTACCATAATGCATGTCATCAAAAATACGCAAGTATATATCAAATATGAGCTCAATCGAACGCCAGGAAATGGTATTGAAATATGGTACTATATTAAGGTACCACTTTATATGCATCATAGTACCATCATATTACAATGTAACCGAAGATACGTAGTATAACATGTTTAAGTCCAATCGAACGCCAGGAAATAGTATCGTAATATGGTACCTCTTTTTATGCTCCATGGTACCATAATATTACAATATCACCGAAGATACGTAGTATCCCAAATTTAAGCCCAATCGAACGCCATGTACATAATATGGTACTATATTATGGTACCAGATGATATGCATCATAGTATCATCATATTACAATGTCACCGAAAATACGTAGTATACCAAGTTTAAGCCCTATTGCCGCCATGTACCTAATATTGCTATATCATCAAATATAGTACTATAGAAGGTACCACTTTATATGCTCCATGGTACCATGATATTACAATGTCACTGAAGATATAGTATACCAAGTTTAAGCCCAATCGAACGCCATGTATCGTAATATAGTACTATATTATGGTATCACTTGATATGCTTCTGAAAAAAAACGGCGTCCAGTTGGCTGGAAAAGGACGATCGATGACATTTCCCATATAAATTTACATATAAAATGACAGTGATATTCATTTCATAGCTATCGCTAACGCCGTTTTTTCCCGATTATACAATATGAACTTGTTATGAACACAATCGAACGTCAGGAAGTGGTATCATAATAGTAGAACAATACTTATTATATTGTCGCCGAATTACAATGAAAATTCAGGATTCAATTATACAATCAAACGTCAGGAAGTGATTGTAATTTAGCCCATAAGATTTAATTCCAACTAACATGGCAAACTGAAAAAACAGCTCTGATCTATTTTAATATGTTTAAATGATAGAGCAAATTAGAAGGCAGGCTTTATCAGGAAGTATTACGATATGAATTACACAATGGCAACACTGCACAAAATTCTTCTAAATTTTGTTTGTAGAAAACTGTTTTCTTTTAAATTTATTGCCCTCTATTATGTAGTAGCGAAACTACCACATCAAAATATCTGATTTGGAGACAGACTTTTAAAGCCTGTCTCCTTTTGCTACCTACAATTTTATACATGTAACGAGGCTTCTGTTGCGTAGCTAGATAATGGCTAGATATTCTGTGCTTGAGGGTGCAGCCACACTATCCTAAAAACGGCGTATCGGCGTAACGGCGTAATGACCTTGAATAGATTTCCAGTAATTCTATTGGCTGAAACATTCATCTGTCAGAAATTTTATCTGTCAAATTCATCTGTCAAAAATTTCAGCCAATAGAATTACTGGAAATCGATTCAAGGTCGTTACGCCGTTACGCCGATACGCCGTTTTTAGGATAGTGTGGCTGCACCCTGAAGCCTGCATTTGCTGCATTTGATCATCGATATCGATACTACGCAAGCGCACATCGTCGATGTTGCCAAATGGCAGTTTATTTTCGAATTATTTACAGTAGAAAACAAATGATTTTTTGAGTGTTCAGTAATAATGCAAATTGTATAATTCATTTTATAATTTCAGATTTATCTTGATTAAAACTTAAGGTAAGAAGGATAATGGAGATTGTGAAGTTGAGGTATTATAATTGTAATCGGAGTTGTCAATAATATAATATTGTAATAATAATATCATTTATTTATATATTTACAATAGATTTAAAATTTATCATTTACGGATTTTTTCTTATTGGTTTTAAACCTATTAGAATTTTTTGTATCATCAATATGATACATTTATTACATCCAAGTTGTTGTTGATTAGGTATATCAATTATATGTATTGAAGTACTATACCGCATGACGAGTTTTATAGCACAAATCGATAAGATTGAGGCATGGTACAAAGAAAATGAAATAGAGGTAACATTACCTAGTTTGATTGTAGTGTGTTTGTATCATAATTTCTTAAAAATATCAAGTTAGTGGGTTAATAATAGCAATTGCTTAGGCACATAGTTTATCGAAGAATGCTGATAGGATTAAAATAAGCTTTATGTTTTCACTTTTTCTCTTTAGAAGGGATATGGATTATGTCGTAGAATCTTAGAATCTAATCTTTATAGAAAATTTAATATCCTGTACTTTGATATTCTTTTCTTAATTTACTTAATTTCTTGTTTCCTGTAATGCCAAAATTAAAATTATTATTTATTATCTTGATAATATGGTGAAGGTTCATTTTTGATCTCATTAAATTTATACACATACCCTAAGCACATACCAACTTAATGGTGCGTTTAGACTTGAGCACGCACGCACTGATCCTCCGCGAATGCTCAAGTGTAAACGGCTGTGCGCGCACGTTCACTCTGAATCTGTCTGTGCGCGAGCAGCCGCGAACGTGAGCCGCACAGGTGAGCCGTCTCATGATACAAAGCACGGCATATAAATCACACGGCAGGCTAACTCGCTTTGGCGGGAACGCTACGCGCATATCCTCGCGCACGCCGCCATTTGGTTTCCATCAACAGAAAGTAACCAGTGTCGTAGTTTTTTCAGCGACAACACACAGTTACGGCAGATTCGAGTAAGTAGCGTGCGGCATAATTTATTTTGATTTTTTCTTGAGCGATATATTTTGTTTTTGTTGTTTTATTTTTGTTTATTATGTGATATATTTGGTTTTTCTAGTTTTATTTTCGTTTCTTATGTAATATAATTGCCAATAGGTGCCCGGGGGCGTAGAGGTACAAGCTCTCGTCTACCAATCTCAAGGTAGTGGGTTCGAATCCCACACCCGGCATTTCATCAGCCGACAATTTTTATTAAAATAAAAATAGTTTGGGTACCTAGGTCGACTCAGTCTTAAATGAGTACTTGGGATTCACAATCCTGAGGTAATAATAGACCGTTGAAGCGTAGTGCTAGCCACATTACCTTCCTTTGTATACCGAACGGCTCTAGTATGGCAAGCTGTACCTTGCTACTCCCTAGGCGTCAAACGCTATATACGGGAGCTATTAATATTATGTAATATAATTTGTTTTAGTAGTTTTATTTTTGTTGTTCAATAAAAGTTTCTTTCTGTTTCCTAGAGACCCTATTAGGTATGTATACATCGGGACAGGTCAACTCTGTGTATAGGATTTTAACGTGTAAGACAGTGATGTAGGCAGCTTAATG